ACACACACACACCCAAACACAGCATAAATTAATCCGACTTAATGTGTTTTTAAACTTTAGGTATTCAGCATTTGCAACTTTATAGATATTCAAGTATCCAAATAGCATATTTTCATTAATCTATGCGCATAGAACATGGAAAGTCAGCTTACTTTTACGGTAAAAGTATATCAGATTTTGAAAACTGGTGGAGCGAACCTGATGCTTGCAACAGATGATTGCTCCGTGTGCAAATCGACATTATGCGGTGGCCGAATCCCACGAAACCATCGGATACTTTCCATAATGAAGCACATCAGTATTGTAATAGCACATGTTGCTACCATTCCTGCAATTCAGCCTTACTTTCTGTCTTTCAAATCTCCCGCTAAATGCTTTTTCCTAGTTCTCAGCTGCCTTTATAGACCGAAAATTCCATTGCTAATTAACAGCTCTTCAAAGTACTCTGGGGATACAAGAATTCTATGAGTTCAGAATTTCAATCAAAAGAAGGTTTGAGGAATAAGGTTTATGTGCCGAAAGCGCTCAAAATCGAATCGAACAGCGATCACTTGCACATACCCCTTCTTGAGAATGTTAATGGTTATCTCCTCCGAGATTTTTCTGAAAAGCAATCAGAAAGAGTTTAAATCATTGGCGACGCGCACCGGGTGGACCCGTGCGATCATGCGTTTTTGCAATATTTCGTGCTGTAACGAGATCGCTCGGAAACCTAGTAGTTAGAAATATGTGATATACTGGTCCTCGAAATTCGGGAAGTCAATTGTCTACGCGTGGACAGGAAACATTTCGTTGAAATTTCTGCTTTCCAAGTTTTTTGGTTCTTCAGTTAGCAATATTCCTGCCAAAAATTTTCACAGTGCCACACGTGACAATCACTTACGCCCAGGAAACAAGTTAGATAAATTTAAGTCGTACTTGGGCTGGGAACATTCTCTGAAAATTTCAGCTCCCCAGCTTTCCTGATTCCTGAGTTAGCCATTTCCGCGCCAAAAACTTTCACCGGGCCGTACGTGAGAATCACGGATGCCCGAGAACTGAATTTGATACGTTTAAGCTGCACATGTGCTAAGAATATTCTGTGAAAATTTCAGCCTTCCAGCTTTCCTGGTTCCCGAGCTAGCCATTCTCCCGCCAAAAACTTTCACGGGACCGTACGTGATTACCATCTATGCTGAGGAGCTGAATTTGATAACTATAAGTTGAACTTTTGCGAGGAACATTCTATGAAAATTTCAGCTCCCCAGTTTCCCTGGTTCCCGAGCTAGCGATTTTTGCGCCAGGAACCATCACCGGGTATACGCGGGAACCACGCACACCTGGTGGTTGAATTTGAAATCTTTAAGTTCTATATAGACGGAGAACATAACCTCAAAATTTCAACTTTCTAGCTTTTCTGGTTCCCGAGTTAGCGGTTTTCCCGCCAA